GGAGTGGTACCACACATCTTTAATCCCAGCACTCCAAATGCAAAGGCAGGTAGATCTCTGAAAGAATGATAGAGGCCAGTCTGGCCTACATAGTGAGTACCAGACTACAGGTGACCCTGTCTCAAAAAACCCCCACAGAAACACACACACACACACACACACACACACACACACACACACACACACAGACACGGAATATAATTCCTTCTAAGATATATTGAACATGTGACACTATTATCAAGTAGAAAGAGTTAAAAATAATTTTTTCACTTATGTGAATATTAGTGTTTGTGCTTTTCTGTAATGCTGTGATAACCTTCGTGTTTGTCAAGGTGATGTGACCAGGATTTTGCATTTTAAGTCCTTTCAGGATACTGTATATATCTAGATGGTGTTTCCTCAGACTTCTTAAATTTTTGGAATTGGAGGACCTGAGACATCACCTCAGGAACCAAGAATTTTGGACCAGAACGACAAAATGAAACAAAACCAGAAACATACATAAAGCACTTTAGTCCTGTCCATGTTTTTCTTCAGATGTTTTTGTTCTATTTAGTAAATTTCCTGCTTTATTTGTCAATTGTTTGCAATAATTTTCATTTTGATGCCACAAGTGAAAGAAAAGAAATTGTAATATAGTTCTGACAAGAAAAATCATATAACTATCATGAAAAAGTGAAGGAATATGTGTACACTTGTGTTAAGTAAGCCTGTGATGCAGGTAAGAGATTCACACTACAATGAGAGCACAAGAAAGGCGGAGGCAGGAGCTTCAAGAGTATGAATCCATCATGACACAACAATCTTCCCTCCTATCTCTGTCTGGTCTTGAATTTATAATTGTGGCATGGTGTTCCTTGTTATATAGCTTTCAGGTATACACATAGGATTACTGGTCTATGTCAGCTGGCCTGGTTTCCACAGGTAGCTTTGGGCATAATATTGCTTCTTTTCTGTTTTTTCATTGAGGACTGTTTACTTTTCTCTTTTTCCTTGACTCATATTTAGACCTTGATGATGTTCTTTGATTATCATTTTAATCTCCTTTTTATAGTCATGTGTATACACATGTGAGTACATGTGTGGGTACAGGAGTATATACATGTGGTGTGTGTGTGTTTTGTGTGTGTGTGTGTGTGTGTGTGCATGTGTGTGTGTGTGTGTGTGTGAAAGCCAGAAGTCAATGTCAGGTGTAATTTTTCCAGAGTCATCTTTCATTTTCCTTTGAAAATGACTATGGAACCCCAGGGAGTATCCTCTGCCTCTGCCAGTTCTAAGATTACAGGGTAGCACAGTGCTAAGCTTTTCAGCCTGGAGACTGAATAAGATCTTCATGCTTGTGTGGCAAGCATTTAACTTACTTAACTGCTAATCTGATACTGTCTGGTTTTTGTTTATTTATTTGATTTTTGTCTTTATTTTTTTTGAATTTTTGCAACTTTCATACAATACATTTTTATTGTATTCCTATCATGTCCCCATCTATGCCCTACTTACTATCCCC